ACACACACACACACGCACACACACACGCACACGTGTAGTAGTGTATATTTCGATGTTCTAGCGGAAGATTCAATCGATTTTGTTCATCCTATCCATAGAAGTAGCGTGAGGCCAGCCGCAGGCTTGGAGACTTCCCTGTTGGCCGGTGCGTTGCTCAACCAATCGATGGAAGTACTCTCTCTCTCTCTCTCTCTCTCTCTCTCTCTCTCTCTCCCTCTCTCTCTCTCTCTCTCTCTCTCTCCCTCCCTCCCTTTCTCCCCCCCCCTCCCACACGAAAGGACGCCGCCCCGCCCATCGCCTCACCGGTAGTCAATTCATGTCATGCCACTCCCCGCTCCGCCCCCCCCGTCGCGTCGCTTCAACCCCGATTGCCCGATATACCGACAAATCCCACTTCAGGCGGCAGAAGACGACCTGGTTCGTCCGCTGCCGGACCGAGTCCACTTCTGCCCGCGCACACCAAGGATTTTTTCGCCCCTTGCCCCGGGTTCCATCGGTTCCCTTTTACCCGCTGCCCGTCACCGGTCCTGTGCGGCGCCGCCCAGTTTCTGTTGGGCCCCACGCGAGGATCGTTGTTTCCTTTAGTAGTATAGGGATAAAAGGTCGATGCACACAAACACCCATAGGAGTAAATCAACCTACTAACTTTATACTTAGCTAGTCTAACGATCCTCCCATTAGGCAATTCGTGGTTCAACACTTTCTTGTCGCAGTCGAATTGGGGTTTTGCAACCTCGAGGTAGTACATACCTAACAACATGTCAAATGGTAGGTCGTCACTAACCAGGAACGAAATCTTATGAATCAGTTCCCCTCCTGGATAGGAAAAAGTGCAGATCACGTCCTTGACGTAGTCCTCTACCAACATGCTACTGGTCTACTCAGGCGCTGCACCCGGTCCTGTAGGCGCAGTCTGTCAACGCAGTCGCGACGTATAAAGGTTTGAGTGGAGCCGATGTATACAAATTCCCCGCATTTGCGGTCCCCTACACCAACTTCCACAACGAAATGTTCCCCTCTAGGACCTCTACTTAGTGCCATCCAGGACTCATGAGGGTCCCTTGCCGACTACTCACTTTGTAGATTCTCTAAAGCCTCAGACACATCCAACGAGCAGAGTATCGTTGGGTCAGGATGCATCTGCGGGGTGACTAAGGAGTTAATAGCTTTGTCCAACTCTTGAAACGGGGAGGGTACTTCACCCGCTTCAACTTGAGTAGAAGCAGCTATAACTTCTACTGGCCATATGTGTTTCCCGAGCCGGAACTCGTTGAGGCCCCACTCTAGGAAGAAGGAATCTCACCTTTGGGTGGTATCTTCTGCAGGACCTTTGCGTTCTTGCATTTGAATTGTTGACTGTCATACTCACCACAGTTAATGCAAGCACCCCGCTGGTAATGATCCCGCCACACATCTTGATCCAAACATGCTCGAACCCATGCCACTATCTTGTGTGGGTTCGAGGTTTGCCCCTAACTCCTCTGTTGTCCGCCCTTGCCGTGGCCAGCTGCCTTGCCCTTAACTATGGCAGCGAGGTTGCTACCCTTAGCATCATCCTCGCCGTCTACCTCTGAACCGTCCACAAGATCTGAGAAATCTTTGATCTCGTTTTGAGTACCATCGGCCTCGGCCATCATCAACCGACTCCCTTTCTTCTTCCACTCTTGTGGAGTCTTCTTCTTTCTCCCGTCCGTAGAGGGTGTCTGAGCACCACCTAGTGTAGCCTCTAAGTCTAAGGCCTTCTTGCTAAAGGTCTCAAACATGTGATATGCTAGCCGAGTCTCGCTGGCTAACAGGTTCCTGATGTCTTTGGGAAAAAATCTCAAAAACATGGTCAACAAGACCTGCGGATTGTATTCAACCCCGGGGACGACAATCAAACGCTCTACACCTGAAGTGAGCTCGCGCACAGACTTGTACTTTCTGGTATCAAGTTTAAACAACATTAAGTTTAAACAACCCTTCAGTGGCAATTTGTGTCTGTTGTAGGTTGTGTCATCGCGCTTCCACTAAATCCATAAAATAAGTTTAAACAACCCGTCAGTGGCAATTTGTGTCTGTTGTGGGTTGTGTCATCGCGCTTCCACTAAATCCATAAAACTCTCCAGTGTATGGGTCCTAGCCCAATCACCCATGTTCCTGCCTAACCCCTTTGAAGTAACCAATCCATTTAGCCAACGAGTTGCCGATCCCCTTAAATAGGATATCGCAGTTATCACTTCCTTCTCCACCAACGTCCTCTTCGGCCTCACCCACACCGGCACCGTTCTCAACCAGGTGTCAAGAGCCTCATCCTTCTTATCTCCCAAGAGGGTTGGGGGTGGTTTCAGTGGGGTCCTGGGGTACAAAGGCTATTGTTGTCCCACTGGCGGGACAGGTGGCAGTTGTGGTGTAGCTCCAGCAATTGGACCAGAAATGAAGAAGCAGTAGTTTGTGCTACTGCTGCCGATGTACCGCTTGGTGTGGTACCAGACTGAGACGGGTATGGGTCTGTCATCGCCAAGAATGGCAGCGATGGCAAAACTGCTGGCCTGACCCCTGGCCTTTGCAGGGCATTCAGGATCTAGTCCAGGGTTACCTGGGTAACGTTCAGTTTGCTGTCCATGTATGCGTGAATGGAAAGGATGCTCGCCCTGACAATCTTCATGTTATTGTCTAGGATCGAGTCATCTAAGGCCCTTGCTTCGGCCCTTAGCCTTATTTCCTCTCCTGGTAGTAGGACCTGGAACACTATAGGTACTCTAAGCGTGTCACACCTAGTCTGCCTTCGGTTGCCAGTTGTTATTCACCACCCTCTGATCCACTCATCAGCTAGGCAGACGCTGTTTGCACTAGTGTCCACTATGGAACCTACCGCAACATGCGTCTGACCGGTTCTAAAAATAAATAATATAAAAATAAATATCCGGCGAGTTACCTAGATTACCGGTCAAGCAGTATCAACAACATTCACACTAACTGTACACATAATCTAAGTTTATTTTGATTAGTTCTCTTACAGCAGCTTCGAGGACTACTGGCTATGGTAGAACACTACAGTTCTAATCTAGGCTGTCTGTGAGGTGTTAGCAGTCTGTCAACCAACTAATCAAAAAAAAACAAAAATTGTGTAAGCAGATATATGTACAATGGGTATGGTTGTGTATGACAGTTGAGTCTCAATTGGAATCTCCCTCCCCTGTATCCAACGTGCCTGTAGGCATCATCAAGCGGAAGTGTCTAAGGTGTGCATTAGCGGCCCCCCCTGTGCCCAAGGTAGATCATCTTGATTCCGCCAAGGGCAAGGAGGTGGTAGCAAGGAAGCATTTTGACGGAGGTAGATCTTCTTAAGGAGAGAACAAGGATGGGGAGTGAATCAGATGTTGGCTGTTTCGCGAAGGACCTGAGAGGAAAATTGACTGCAGAGAGTGTCTGGATGCGGCGCATGATTGCTTGGTGTCCATGGCTCTCAGAGGATGATCTCAGGTCTCATCTTGCGTTGGTTCCATTGGGTTCACTGATCCTCACGGCGCTGGTCTGCGTCTTGACTGCCAGTTGGCTTTCTTGGCTGGTGGGTAAATGGATCATTGTTGGGGCAAAGGTCGGCCGTGAACGCAAACTGCGATTGGCCCCTGGGCCTGCTGCATGGCCGATTTTGGGGAACCTGCTTCAGCTGCAAAGGCATCCCCATAGAAGCCTGGCCAAGATGGCAGAGCAATATGGTGAGCTGATGACCGTCCACATGGGCACGACCCCTACGTTGGTGGTGTCCAGCCCGGCCGCCGCAAAAGAGGTCCTGCTCACTCAGGGAACCACTTTTGCCTCGCGACCGCTGCCGCCGACGGCCGATGCCTGGTCATATGGCGGTCGAGATCTCGGCCTCGCGCCGTACGGTCCACTGTGGCGCAAGCAAAGGAAGATAGCCACTGTGCAGTTGTTCTCCCCGAGGAGGATGGTGCAGGTGGATGCAATCCGACGGAGATTCACCGATTTCCTAGAGGAGGAGCTGTTGAGGAAAGGCCAAGAAGGAGCACACCCGCAGGAAGGAAGAAATGAGGGCAGAAAGGAGGGGGGGGATGCTTCCCCTCCTGCGGCCACCCTGTGCACTGAAACGACCTCTTACGGCAATCCAGCCACCGTACATGTGGGTGTAACAGACAAGTTGGACAACACCAAAATCAGTAAAGACAGGCAGGCAACAGATGGCCGAAGCTATCATCCTGATCGGAATGAGTGCGGGCCCAGCGGAGCAGCAGGCACCATGGATGGACTCCATCCAGTGCACTTGCGAGAAAATGTGTTTCAATTTGCCCTGGACACTTTGACCTATGTCATATTCGGCTGTCCTGTGTCACCTGCTATGCGACGCCACGTGGCGAAAGCCCTTGCCACCAAAGGGGGTTCGACGACAACAACAATGAAGACCAGAGTGCAGCACGATGACGTTGAAGATGCGACAGCGACGCTGAGCGATGCGTCAGTCCAGACGAAGGGAGGAGGTGCTCCCAACGATGACGACCAAATGGTGAAAATGTTCTATGAGGTTGTCTTGTCAACGATGCAGGCGGTGGCGACGGCACAGATACCCGACTTTGTCCCAAGTCTGAGGTTCTTCTACAGGGGCTACCTTCAGCACGTGCGAGGGCTGTCAGACAGATTCCGCGCTGTGACCCTGAAGCTCGTTGAAAAGAGGCGAGAATTCCAACGAAAGGTCAGTGGGAGCAGTTGCACAACGCTCGACGATCGTGACCAAGAAGCGTTGAGAGCAGCTGGATTCATTAATCCGGAGGCAATGGTGGACGTGGTATTTGATAACCTGTCTCCTCCTGGATTCTGTGCGCCAAAGAGCTCGGAGGCTTCTAGCATTAAGGACGGCAATGTGGAATACGGCGAGACGGAGGCCTGCATGCTGTTAATGGACCTGGTGTCAGGTGGCACTGACACAACGACCTCTGTAACTGTTTTTCTTCTGATGGAATTGCTGCATCATCCTGAGAAGCTGGCTATGCTCAGGGCGGAGTTAGGCGAGGCTGTAGGAATGCTCAAGGTTCCGTCGGAGAATGATCTGGAGAATCTTCCTTACCTGAATGCCGTTCTTTACGAGACGCTGCGTCTTCACACCCCCGCCCCTTTGCTTGTTCCCCATCAAGCTACGGATGACGCTGTAGTGTTTGGATATGACGTGCCAGCAGGGACTTCGGTGATCGTCAATGCTTGGGCTATTATGCACGACCCTCAGGTGTGGTCGGACCCATGGRAGTTCCGCCCGGAGCGGTTCATCCAAGACGGTTTGCTGGCCGACGACATGCATCCTGATGGAAAGAATTTTCGATTCTTCCCATTTGGATCGGGAAGAAGAATGTGCCCGGGAATTCGATTTGCACTGACCACTGTGCRATTCGTTGTTTCCAGGTTGTTGCAGCGATTCGATGTCATGTTGCCACCTGGAGTTCAGCCGGAAGACGTGGATSTTACTGAACATGACGGAATTGTTATCTTCCCGGAAAATCCCATGCCTGTCATCTTCCGTCCRAGGYTAGTCGTGTAAGGTGCCACTGGGCTAGATTCGTTCAGCTGACGTGGAGGAGAGTGCAGCATGAGTCTGAGTGCCCGATTCAATGGGGGGGTTGGAATTRAATTCCCTTTGCAACCGGTTTGACCCCCGCGTCCCCCACTGAATTTAGCCTCCCATCGTTTTTCTTTCCACRCACAAAGTCCACGGGGGCTGGGGTATGTGGCCCAGTGCCCCCTCGGAAAATCCTGAGTAACCGATTCAATGGGGGGCTTGTCCGGCATTGGTCGTGTAGGGTGGGGTAGATTCGTTCGGCTGACATGGATGAGAGTGTGACAAGAGTCTGAGTAACCGATTCAACGGGGGCATTGGAATTAAATTCCCGCTGAACCCGTTGAAACCTGTTTGACCCCCGTTGAATTCCCATTGAATCCAAAACGAGGGTCCTTCCGTCATTTTCCCCCCCACAGACAAGGTCCATGGGGGCTCGGGTGCATGGGCCAGCGCCCCCAGGCAATTAAACTGGAAAAAAAAAAGAAAACTCACCCGGGAATTCGATTCACACTGACCACTGTGTGATTCGTTGTTTCCAGGTCGTTGCAGCGATTCGATGTCATGTTGCCACCTGGAGTTCAGCCGAAAGACATGGATGCTACTGAACATGATGGAATCGTTATCTTCCCGGAAAATCCCGTGCCTGTCATCTTTCGTCTGAGGTTAGTCGTGTAAAATGCCACTGGGCTAGATTCGTTCAGCTGACGTGTAGGAGAGTGTAGCAAGAGGCGGAGTAGCTTATTCAAGAGGGGGGTTCAAATTAAACTCCCTTTGAAACCTGTTTGACCCCCTCTGAATAACCGTTGAGCCCAAAACGGGGTTCCCATCGTTTTTCTTTCCACGCACAACGTCCATTGGGGCTCGGTCTCGTGGCCCAGTGCCCTCTCGAAAGACCCCGGCTGGTAATCTTTTGTCCAAGGTTAGTCGTGTAGCAAGAGTCTGAGTAACAGATTCAACGAGGGGGTTGGAATTAAATTCCCGAACCCATTGAACCCCGTTTGACCCCCGTTGAATTCCCGTTGAATCCAAAACAAGGGGTCTCCCGTCGTTTTTTTTTCCCACAGACAAAGTCCACGGGGGCTCGGGTGCATGGCCCAGCACCCCAACGCGCCCCACGCGATTAACCCCCCCCCAACCCCAACCCCCACTGCCCCCGGTTGTGTGTGCGCGTGTCTATTTGTGTGTGTGAAGGAGGGGTGGGGGAGGGGTGTATGTGAGTGTGTTCGCACACGCATGTGTGTGTGTCTGTGGATGTGAGTGTGTGCGCACGCGCATGTGTGTTTGTGTTTGTGTGTGTGTGTGTGTGTGTGTGTGTGTGTGTGTGTGTGTGTGTGTGTGTGTGTGTGTGTGTGTGTGTGTGTGTGTGTGTNTGTGTGTGTGTGTGTGTGTGTGTGTGTGTGTGTGTGTGTGTGTGTGTGTGTACGTGTGTGTGTAGATGTGTGTGTGTGTGTACATGTGTGTGTAGATGTGTGTGTAGATGTGTGTGTGTGTGTGTGTGTGTGTGTGCGTGCGCGCATTTAGCTTGCTATCATTCACACAATACTCAGTAGCCTGCCATATCCAAGACTGCCCTTTCAATGCCACTGCTTCCCACTTCCACAAAACCACTTCCAACCGCAATTCTCAACAGACCCTGTGAGAGAGCAATTCAAGGTACGGCTTCCAAGGGCACTCGGAAGCAGAGCTGTGGGGAAGAATCCCACCAGCGTGTGTTTTTATGTATGTATAATATGTCATGACAGGTTTGCCTGCGTCATGCATTTCTCCGATGAAAGATCACCCAGCGCATATTGTACTCTGTAACCGTGCAGGCATGGCATGCCTCAAGCGTGGCGAAACGACATTTACCATGGCAAATGGATAATTTCATGTCCTTCCTGGTGTCATTGCTACGTGGCGACGAAGGGCTCATCCCCTTATGCAGACAACACAGGCACACAAGGCATTGAAGGCAGGCAGACGACAACAACCATCAGACAACGAAGCCCAGGGGCAGAGAGGCAATGAGCTGTTGGATCACAAGGCACGTAGACTAAAGGGCACACTGGGAAAGCAAAAGAAACTTAAGACAACCCATAGGTTGGAGAGCATGGGGGAGGCGGGAGGGAAGACGACACACAGACACGTAAGGAAGGGAAACGACAACAACCAGGCTGAACCAGCGTACAAGGCAAGCACCAAAACCAAAAATACTGAAGAAAAATAGAAACTGATGAAGATATATTGTTTCGTCCCAGTGACACTGACTCATCAGGAGGCTGAACCCTCAACAATCTGCAGAATCTCAATATTGGATGGTTTGGGTCATGAACCCTTTGACCCATGTTGAAGGCAGACTGTCCCCAAGTGAAACATAGCAGCGGGCAGCAACCCTGTGGAGCACCAGGCAATGCAGTAGAGGCAACACGGCTCCACACAACACTAAAGACGACTGCAAGGAATGACACGGCAAGTGGAAGAACAGCATAGCAACCGTGTAGTGAAGCACAGGGCAACACAAGCAAGGCAACCACACTGCAAGGGACAACAGGGCGAGCAGACAAGCAGCCCGGCAACCGTGCAGCGAAGCGCAAGGCAACACCAACAAGGCAACCAAACTACAAGGCACGCAACCAACAAACACGGGAGGCGTGACCAGCGGATGGGCGGCAACGCAGTGGAGCACCGAAGCCCAAAGCAACACCAACAACACGGCCACACCACACAACGAAGACAACAACTTCCAGAGAACCAAATGTGAAGCAAGCGGGAGAGGCAGCAAGGCAGCAGCAGTGCGCAGACAAGGCAGTCCACACATCCAACACGGAGCAAAGCAGCATATCACGTACTCACATCACGATCGAAGCCCGCAGACCGTTGGTTCCCACCACCCACTGAGCCAAGGAGTCACTCAGACGAGCATCCGTCATCACCCACAGGCAACACAGACTTCCTGAACTGAGCAGCCCCCCTAAAAGTGCAGTAGGCACTCCAAATGAGGAACCACCAACTGTTTGGCACTACTTAAGGGCGCTCAGTTGGGTAAGTAAAAATACTTGGAAAAAATCAGAGGGAAGACAGACAACAAGAGGGAAAAAAACAGAGAGTGTCTGTGTGTAAAAAAGCATAGGCAACTATAGCAACCCGAGAACACGGGAATCTCCACATAGATCCACGCATATACTGTTTGCAACTTTGCACTGCACTCCCCATCTGTAGGATTGACTGACGACACAAACCGGCAATCCCTGCACACAAGACCAAAGGAGTATAGTGGACACCTTGAAAATGACTATGCAAAATAGATAGCGCAGAAGGGAATTGTTGGCATAGTAACCAATGTGGCAACCATTGTCAACAGCAGATGAGAAGGAGGAAAGAAAAAGAGAAGGGAGCGGTGATGGCATAGTCATCAACGCTGGTGTACTGACCAATGGAGGAGAGATGACACATACTTTAAAGCGCTTTTCGACGCTTGCTTCTATCATGCCCATGGAATGCCATGCAAAGGCCATTAAGACAAAACACATTGCGGTGAACGAGTGGGCAAACAAGCAGCACAGAGAAGCAAGGGAAGAGACACAAAGTACAAGTACAAAGTTAAACAAAACAAAGAGCGAAAAAAAATAAAAATCAAAACCGATGATGAATAATGGTACATGCTTGATCAAGCTATGTATATGGAGGCTATAATGGAGCCAAGGATCCGCAAAGTGATGAAAAGGACTCAAATGGACAATGCAGCGTCAGCAAAGCATCAACAAGCAATGTACATCCAAATACAAACGAAAATAGCACAATGTAGCGCAACGGAAGACTCAAAGATACGACTTGACCTATCAGATCCTCATGCGACACCCCATCATATACCACACATGTGAGAGAGAGGGGGGGAGGGACAGCATACATGGAAGAATGTCCCTCCTTGAGCACGAACATGGGGAGGTACCACGGATGCGGAGATGGGGGAGAGGCAAGACGGAGATCGAGACGAGGGAGAAGACCAAGATCGTGATAGCGAAGTCCAAAAATAGTCTCCCTGCCGAATGTCCAACCAATGTCTGCAACAAAAATGTCGAATCAGATCCTGGGCCTCATGGCCCGATGTAACATCTGCCTGTAACCCCTCTCTCTCTCTCTCCCCCCCTCTCTCTCTCTCTCTCTCTCTCTCTCTCTCTCTCTCTCTCTCTCTCTCTCTCTCTCTCTC